GTGTGTGTGTGTGTGTGTGTGTGTAGAGAGAGTGGGTGTGGTTTACCTAAAATAGTATTGTATTACAAATCAGCTTTCTTTTCCAATCAATATTTCAAAGTCTCTCTTGGTATCAACAATTGCATAATATTCCCTAGTATGAAACTACATTTTATTCATCCATTCTCTTAACTGGGTCTGACTGCATAACCAATCTCATGAGAGAAAATCCCAAGACCAACAAATTCTTATGGATGGATGGATGTGTGCACATGATCTTCTGATGGGTAAACCTAGGAGTAAAGACTGCTAGACAAAAAAGATCACAAACTGCCGCTCACCACTGTCTTCAATTTCCTTCTTAGTGTGAGCTAATATGTCATAACACCTATCATCACTTGCACTTCCCTTCTGAAAACTGGCTTTCTGTTATACATCTTCTACTGACTTCTATTTTTCTGCTAACTGGTTAAGTCCTATTAAAATTTCCAGCTCTTAGGGACCTTGTGAATTTTGTAATGTTTTAACTCTCTTCATCAGTCAACTTTGAATATGAGGTCCTTCACTGAAAACATAAGTCTTTGACAGAGTTAAATCCTTCATCATCTCATTTTATGGTTTAATGCTTCTTAGAGTTTTATGATGAACTTAGTTTTTCTGATATTTTCCTCTTTCATCAGGACTGATCAGGTGATCTCCTGGGCCACATCAACCTCCCGAAACTTCTTTATAGCCTATCTGGCTTGTAGGCCTTGATGTCCACAAGGAACACTCATGTGCTGTTATCTTCTCTCCCCTTCACAGCGATGACCCAGTGGTCAAGTATGTTTCTCCTGGGCACTTTTTCAAGGCTACCCAGGCTGCCTCCTGAACCAGTGCCTAGGGCCACTGGAAAGTGGTCATGTGCAGACTTTCTTTGCGTGGTTGTGGATACCTTTTAGCACATTCTTTTGGGTCTTGAAAGCCCTTGCTCTGGCTTCAGCTTTGGGAGGGGCAGGAGCTTTCTTCTTAGCTTTCAATGCCATCTTGGTGAAACAGGCTGACAGTTTTTTCTATTAGCAGAAAAGTAACATTTCAAATATGTAACAATTCCCCCTTATCTGTGACTCCCAGTGGATGCCTCAAAGAGCATATATCAAACTCCAAATAAAGATTCAGAACTTCAGGAGCTGGCAATATAACTTAGTTGGTAGAGTGTTTGCCTTGCATGCAAAAGGCCCTGGGTTTGATCCCCAGCATCACCAAAAAAACCAAAACCAAAAACAACAAAAAAAACAACCCAAAAAACAAACTCAGAATTCCTTTTTTTTTTTTTTAAAGGAATCAATTTATGGTTTCTCTTTGGCATAGCCAAATTATCAGTACCACTCTTCTTGTGCTTTGATAAGGGTTATTTGAACACAAGCAATGTGATGCTGCAGGTCAATCTGGAGAGCAAGGTGTCTGCTAAGTGACTAGCAGATAGTACATTCATCGTGGATGCATGGGACAGAAGGATGACTCACATTTGGAGCTGGACTTAATCATGTTACCAGGGAAGGGGCAGTATTATTTACTTCTGGGATTTTCCATATAATATTTTTGGACCATGGTTGTCTGTCACGGGTAGCTAAAATTGACATTATGAATGAGGACCACTATGGGTGTATTAACTAAAGTTTCTGGCCCAGAAGGTACAGATCCAGCCTTTTTTCCCAATGGAGTGGGTCAGCTTTCTCAGAACCACCCATGTACCCTTCCCCAGTGACCTGTGGTTCCCTATTCATCTCATCCTAGATGATAATCAATGTGAGGGATTCATGCTTAGGAGCCATGGGTCTCAACTGCTCTTATGCCACTCTCTTATTTGTCTATTAGTATGGCTTTAAACTATCTTTACATTACATGAGGCAAGTTCACCCCCACCACCACCTATTATGCTGCTCTTTCCGATTTGCTTTCTCATCTGACTTTATTTCACTTTTTTCTTTCTATAAAACTCCTCTGTACTTTCACAGACACAAAGTTAAAAAAAAAAAAAAAAAAGCCTTACGCCTTACAGTAAGAAAGGTATCCAACACCTTTCTCTTTCTGCTTTCTGGCATTGGTTTACATTTTGTTCAGGGGAAAGTGAAAAAGGACTGGGGCAGGCAGCTCAACTTGAGACACATGGCAATCACAAACTGAAGTATTATGTTAGTAGATTTCACTCTCCCTTAAAACATTTAGGTAAACATTTTAATTTAAATATTTAAAGTAAGTTTAACTCAAAACATTTTTGCTTGAATTTTTAAAAAATATTTTTAGTTGTTGATGGACCTTTATTTTTATTCACTTATTTATATGTGGTGGTGAGAACTGAATCCAGTACCTCACACATGCAAGAGCTCTACCACTGAGCCACAAGCCCAGCCCTTTTGCTTGAATTTTAACTTGAACTAATTTTTTGGTTTTAATTTGGATTTTTTTTTTTTTTTGGTATCTGGAATTGAACCCAGGGGCACTCAACCACTGAGCCAAACCCCAACCCCATTTTATGTTTTACTTTGAGACAGGGTCTCACTCAGTTGCTTAGGATCTTGCTAAGTTGCTGAGGTTGGCTTTGAACTTGTGATCTTTGTGACTCAGCCTCCCGTGCCACAGGGATTACAGGCGTGAGCCATCATGCCTAGTTTTGGATTTTAACTTGAACAAATTTTCTTATTTTAGTTTTGATCAAAGTCTTGATCTCGACTTGACCAAACTTTTTATTAATTCAGAAAGAATCATCTCTCTGTAATGGGAAAACATCTCATTCATGAATACAGCTAAATAAAGGATGAACTATCTTCCATTATGATTTTCAAAATCAGAGACTTAAAGTGTTCTCCATAAATGGCTTGTATATTTACTATTAGGATAATTCCCTAACAGGTATGCAGCTTCGGTTACTATTGTGTATGATGTTTTCTTCCATATTTTCTAACTGCTTATTGGAGCCATAAAGGGGCACTAATCTTTTTACACATCAATCTTGTGCTCAACTATTGATTTTATTGGGATTTCTATGTAGACCATCTAGAAATGATCAGAAGTGTGTCTTCCAATTATTCACTGCTGTTTTTCTTCATCTTAGTGAACTATATTATTGAACACCAGGTGGAGCGCTGTTCACACCTGCAACTATCCTGTCAAATGGCTGCCTGTACACCTTGAGACACACTTGTTTACCACTGAGGTGAGCTCCTGGGTTTCTGATCCCTCCTTGGTACCTACTTTCTTTGTCCCTTCCAGTGTGTCCATGTTAAAATTGGCTTGGACTGCAAAGCCATTCGGGCTTTCTTTGGTTCATGTTTGTCTTTTGTATCTTTTTCCATACTTTCATCTTAAATCTTTCTGGTTCTTTTTATGTGCACCTATGGCAGATATTATCATTGGAACTTGTCTCTTTAACACATTCTTAAACATATACAACTATCTGTGTGTACACATGGTTCAGATTCCTTTGGCATTATTAATGAGTTTCTGGGAAAGTTTCAGTCTTAATTTTTTAAATCATCCTCTTTTCAACTCCCACATTCACTCCATCAGCAAGTCATGACAGTATCTCTCCAAAGTCTATCCCCAATACCTTATTTCTTCTACCTTCCGACAGCTACCACCCAAATCAAACCACCAGCATATATCTCTGGGTTGCTATACTTCTACCTGCCTTTCTACACATTATTCTCCACCCAGCAACAAGAGTGACATGCAACAATATGTAAACTGGTATCTACTTCTACTCTCCAGTCCAAACACCCACCAGTGAAAAATCTTCCAACACCTTCTTAAAGAACTCAAAATGAAATCCCCTGTAAGGCTTCATACTTAATCTCCCTCTTCATACATACCTTAGATCCTATCTCAAAGTGCTGTTTTCTTGACATCTCAACCCTCTCCTACCTCTTCTGGTTCTCAGCCAGTTTTCAAGAACAGCCTCTCAATGTCACTCATCATATGTTGTTTCATTTTCTTCTCAAAACAAATTATAATCTGACTGGCTGAAGAGCCAGAACCATCTCTCTGATAAACCTCTGAAAAGCAAAGCTGATGCACCAGAACATTCCCTTCCTTGCCTGCTCCCTCTACCCTACCGGCCACAACCACACTATATTCACACAGAGGTGACAGTAAAGAACCACAGACAGTCAGCAATCTAACTTTTAATGTAAAAGAGCATTTGCACAATTGGCTACAAAAAAAATTTAAAAAAGAAATAAAACTGATCCCCGCTCACATAGTGTGCATTTATCTAATTAATACTTTTATGTTTTAAGTGCAATAATTAAAAACAAATACTTCTTTTAACCATATCAGTATAGAAAAGATTCACATCTCTAAAAACTGAATTTGCTCCTGATCTTTGTGTTGAGGGATAATTCTATGTTAATTTCATTATATTCCACCTGTACTAGAGCATATAACTGGATAATCAAACACTACACTTTAGATTCTAAATAGGATACCAATGTTTTGTAAAAAAGGGTCAGTACTTGGGCCGGGGATGTAGCTTAGTGGCAGAGCACTCACCTAGTATACATTATTCTCTGCATTCAATCCCTAGTTAATTAATTAAGTCTATACCCGCTACAGTATTCCATTATCAAGGTGCAAGTAAAGTTATAATAAGTATACCAGAATAAGGGTAATGACCCCTGGTCCAGGACTGGGGTTGATGCCACAGCCTTGACTTATTAGAAAAACTAAAAATTAAAACTAAACAATGCTGGGCTGGGTTGTGGCTCAGTGGTAGAGCACTTGCCTCACATGCATGAGGCACTGGGTTCGATTCTCAGCACCGCATATAAGTAAATAAGTAAAGTCCAATGACAACTAAAAATTTAAAAAAAAAAAAAAAAAAAATATATATATATATATATATATATATAAACTAAACAAAGTTATCTTGACACCATAAAAATTGTTGGTCTAATAATTTCCATCATTCTCCCAAATATCCTATACCTATTATAGTCTCAATCCTTTTACCCACCCACTCCTTGACAACTACTCATCTGCTTTTTGTCCCTATGAACCTGCCTTTTTTGGGCAACACATGGACAGAATCATAAAACCTGACCTTCTTCACCCGACTTCTTTCAGCAGCACAATGTTTTCAAAGTTAATGAATGAATATGAATCAGAACACCTTTCCTTTTAATGGCTGAATAATATTTCATTGAATGAACAAACCATATTTTGTTTATCCATTTGTCAGCTGATGGACATGTAAATTGTTTTCATATTTTGGCTACTATGAATCATGCCCCAATCTACTTTATCGTTTCCTGCTCTTAAACATCAGTAGACCACCAGAAATCAGCCAATTGAAAGAAGGAATTAAGAAAAGAACTACAAACACTAAAATGAACAGGAAAAAACTGGGGAAACAAGTATACAAATTAAGAAAAACTTCTAAGTTTATTTTTAATAAACTTTAGCTAATTGAAAGTACCACATACATGAAATAAGAACAGAACCCTATAAAAATGACTAAGATTTGGGGCATTACTTTACTCAAAAGATTTGACACAAAGTTCATTTTAAAGGTTGAAGCTGAAGTTCATTTTCAAGCTTTACAAAAGCCATTTATCTTGCCAAGTATTAACAATGCCCTGAACACCCTCTTACAGCACCGGCCCTTGTTCAACACAGGTCCTTTTCTCCAACACGCCAACCTGCTTGCTACCAGCACTCCTGTCTGGAGGACACTCCTGCAGCTGGCTCCTTCTGATCCTTTGGTCTCTGTGTAAACACCATCTGCTCACAGAGGCTTTCTAACCTGCTATCTAAAGCACACTGCTTTCTTTGTTCTAGGTCACGCTGGAACGCTTATCCCAACATGAAATAGTATCTTGTAGAGGGCAGAGACCACTTTCCCTCCCAGGCCTATAAATGCGTGTGGCACATAATGGGCACCTAAATATCAAGTAAGTGAATAAATTCATGAACATTACCTCAATTCTTGTAATTTTAAGAAACTTAATGAACACC